TCCAAGCAACCAATAGTTTGAGGCAGAGGTTTCAACTTCAGATGAGTGCGGATGAGGCAGAAGCTTTGTGGAGACTGACTTGATTGGGGAGTCTTTGGGAAGTTATTATACACGATTGTATGTTGTTCTGTCCCTTTCTTGGTGGATGGTTGAAGGCTAATTATATATGCATAGATATGATACTTTCCAATACCGTACACAGAGTATATATTAGCTGGTGGAACAGGTAGGCATGCTGTACAGCTTTGCCAGAAAGTGTAAGCGTAAGCGTTTGGAGCGAATGCACTGTGACTGGCGTGGCGTTGGATAAAACGATTGAGCTGATTGATTTATGTTTGGCATTTACGATGTAGCGATTTGTGAAAAGGTGAACAAGTATCCTTATAGTAAGGGAGAAAATAAGAGATAGAAGGAACAGAAGAGATGTGATTTTTTTGACATACAGGAGACTTGACTTAACCGTTCGAATGATATGGAGATTTCAGTCTAATGACTTAAAACGAGGATATTTTATGTCCGCAGAAATTTGCCCAAAACTCGGCGTTGTTTTGACTAGCTGATTCAGATGAGGGAAAGGATTCCTGTTCTGCGCTCTTTCGCAGTGTCTCTTCAAACCTCTAACGCGAACAACGCTTGAGCTGAGAGTATTGACTGCAGCAAGAATAGGACTAGAAGCAAGCTTGATAAGTTGGCCGAATTTTTTTTGCATGCAAAATTGTACAGACAGGGGATATTTGAGTTTTGAACATTCTAAGATCTTACTTCGGGACATTGCGATTTTCCTGGGCCGAACTTTGAGAACATATCCACCATGCAACCAATATGCCCATGCCCCTACCAATACTCGGGTCAAACCCCATGACCGAGTTGCTGGTAACTTAGCATAAGCACAAATCATGGTTTGATTAGTCCAGACGTAGAGAGTCGAATGTATGTTCTATATATCTCAGATGCCTCACGATCATCATGACTCTGGATTCATCTAGGGAGAGAGAGAGAGAGAGAGGCTTAATACAAATAATTAACCGATACGATACTCCAACATTTACCTCCAGGCCATCATCACAAGCACAGTTCGCAGCTTGCCCGTCTCAAGGATTGAAAATAAATCTATCTTTGACTTGTCGGTGAACAAAATAACGTTTCTTGGTCTTGCGGATGTAGCTGTACCTCGTGTTACTAAGTAACCTACCTGACCTAGTAGTATAGTATAGTGGCAAAGAGGCAAAGACATGAAAGGAGCGGATAAATAGTAAATGCAGTCGGATGGATGCATTTAAGGATTAAAGCATTAAACTATTTACGTTCAAGGAAGAAGATGATCCGATTTTCGAGAAAGCAGCGGAGAAAGTTAATTGGTCAAGCCACTAACTAGGTGGGCTCTTGTTGAAGCTTAAAATGGGGAAATCCCCGCAATTGAGGCTTACTCCATGGGGTTGAACACCTTTATTAGGAGGCGGCTAGTTAGGCGTTGCTAGACGTTGCTAGGTCTGGTTAAAGGGTGATGCTTTAAACCCTGTCCTGTCAAAAATGTGGAGGAGTTGCATTTAGCCTAAATATCAAAATCATCAGTCTTTTCCCTTCCAGATGTTGGTCGCTGAAAATTTCCACCAATTGATGGATTTCATCATGTGGGTTGGGGATATATCCTCGGGTGTACAAATACAGATTTGACATGGTATCTCGTCCTTGAGTTGGTAGTTGGTGGTGATCCATCGTCTTTCTATGGTGTGGAAGGTTGGCGTAAATGGGGAACTGGACATGATGTTTCCACTTATCCATGTTCCAACACAGAGGTTCGTTTTATCCGGTGCTTTCTTGGCTGTGCGTGCTCATGTTACCTATCTACCTACCCTACCTGGATGTACGTACTATTTGGAGGAATGGCATGACTGGGTCGTGTTCTTTCTTTTCTCATATATAGGTACGGTACCATGCCACTCCATGCTGGCTGTACCCACCGAGAATTTCATTCTTGAAATCTTTTTTTTTTGGTTCTGTTTTTGAGATTGACAGAGTAGTTCCAGTGGAACAAGCTTGACAAGATGGGAAAGTTTTTTAATCTTTCGTTGGCGGTTTTTGCTGCCACTGGGTGAGTTTCCCTTTTCTTTTAGATATTGTCTCTAGTGTAGTTGTGAGGTTGGAAGTTCTAACATGCAGTTTTCAGATCTTTTCTTTTTGGTTACGATGCAGGTGTTATGACAGATGTGATAGCCTCTCAAAACTTCCTCACTTTCTTCAACACGACACAAGATTCCTCTATTATCGGTGCCATCAACTCTACATTCAATGGAGGTGCTGTGTTTGGTGCTCTTCAGGGTGGTCTTACTATGGATCGATTTGGTCGAAAAATTACTATTTTTATGGGCGCTTTGATTTGTCTCGTTGGAGCTACGCTACAGACTGCCGCGCAGAATTTGCCTATGATGCTCGTGGGTCGTATTTTTACTGGTTGGGCTGTCGGTTTGCTGAGTATGGCTGTACCGGTATACAATGCAGAGTGTGCGGATCCAAAGATTAGAGGATTGATTGTGGGATTGAGTCAACAGATGATTGGAGTAGGATTCATTGTGTACGTCGGTTCTGTCTCTAGGATTCTGAGACGAGTTACTGACATTTTCAAAGTTCAACTTGGGTAGGATATGGCTGTGGTGTTACATCCGACGCGAGCTCTATTCAGTGGCGAATCCCACTCGCGGTCCAAATGATTCCTTGTCTCGTTCTCGCCTCTGGTATTATGTTCTTCCCCGAATCACCTCGTCATCTTATGGAAACCGATCGTGAAGAGGAAGCATTGGTAATTTTGAAGAAGTTGCATTCCGATGGTACAAATGATGAGTTTATCCTCAAGGAATTTAATGAAATCAAGGAAACCATTGCTGCGGAAAAGGCAATCACGGTACCCGGATGGAGGATTATGTTTACAGTGCCACAATGGAGAACGAGGTTGGGTCATGGAGTTGCTGTTCAAGCTTTTACTCAATTTACTGGAATTAGTAAGTTTTGAGTATAAGAGATTGGAGGAAGAGTTACTGACATGAATTAGACGTTATCGGTTACTATCAAAATACTATGTACAAGGCGTTGGGAATTACTGGAAATAAAGCTTTACTTGTCACAGGAATTTACAACTGCATGGGACCCTTGGGAAGTAAGTCGACGTACCACCAACACCATATAGACAAGAAACTAACAACAAATCGCAGATCTCATTTTCATCAGTTTCATGATCGATAGAGTAGGACGTCGCAAGCCACTCCTCTGGGGAACCGTCGGTATCACCATCGCCCTCGTTTGCCAATCTATACTCAACAGTCGCATCGACGCCACAAATCCACAACACGGTCTTTCCATCGGCGGAGTCTTCTTCATTTTCTGCGTCACCGTCATCTTCTCCTTTTCATGGGGTCCCATCTCCTGGGTCTACATGTCCGAAGTAATGCCCATGCAAATCCGCGCTCGTGGAAATGCTTTCTCGACTGGAATTGGTAATTGGCTCGTAGCTACTTTCTGGGCTCAAGTTTCTCCTCAAGCTTTGAAGCATTTGACGTGGAAATTTTATTTCTTGTTTGCTGGTTCGTCGATTTTTTCTTCCCCTCCCACTTTTGTTCCATCTTAGGAAATAAATATACTAACGAAACCCCCCATAGCATGGAACGTAGTAGTTACCATCCCCGTAGTATTTTTCTTCTTCAAAGAAACCAAACAACTCTCCCTCGAAGAAATCGATCTCCTCTTCGGCGAACGCGCACTCGGTACCCTACCCGAAGATATCTCCAAGGGATTGGAGACCGAACATCATGAAATGCATCCTAAAGGTCAAGATGAAGTTTAGGGTTTTGGGTTTTTGGGTTTTTGGTTTTAATGATGTGAGATGATTTTGGGATGAACATTACAATAGGTCTTTCTTGGACTTTGGGTGTTCGGATTTCGCTGGTTTTGATTGGTTGGATGTAATCTTAGGTTCTTACCTAAACGAACCTAAGTCTTGTCCTTAATATATTTTATAGTAGGAATTGAGTAATGCGTATATACCACGATCAGTCATAAAGTAAAAAAGTATGACGTTTTGTCCTCAAAGCGAAGGAAGAACTCTGTATATCCCGAGGTCTTTTTTTTATATATAAATATCAATTACAATACCTACCTACTCAGATATCTAACGATAAGCTAACCAATTCACCACCACAACTCAAAGTGTAAACAAATAAAAAGACGCAAAAACAAATCAGTATTCATACCCATCCTTCCTTCCCCAATAATTTAGCATCCATCGTCTTTCCATACCTAGGTAATCTCAAGCTTACAATCATCTCAATCTCCTTTCACCATTTTTCTTTCTCTTTCCTACGTAAGATACCTATTAGCCAGTATAAGTTCTTAGTATAGTAAATACGTACCTACACAGTAAAGGAACAAGTCCACAAAGAAAGAAAGAAAAAAGGTATTCATTATTTACAATCGATCCCAGAACAGCCCACAACGAATAAAGGATATTAATATTAATGGTTTCTTCTTTGCACAAAACAAAGCAGCAAACTAACTATCTATCTATCTACTGCATCATCTGTATATGCCATGTATATTGAGAAATTGATTCGATAATTATGAGAGGATAGGATGGGATAGGATATGATAGGAATTTTTATGTTTAGTTGAATTACATCTACCGGTATCTATGCATTCTGGTAAACTTTTTTTGTAAGATTATTTATATACCGGCTATTGCTACGGCTATTGCTATCGCTATAGCTATAAGTTCACAAATCATATATAATTTAACATATAACATTTACCAACCAACCAAGCAACCAACCACCCCAAACCCAAACCCAAAACAACACCAAAACCACCCATCAAAATGGGCGACCCCCCGTCCACAAAACCCACCCTCGTCGACTCCTTCGCCAGCAAACCCGAGCACACCCCCAGCCCCATAAGCCGCCTCCTCCCCGGCGAAACCATCACCGAAGCCGGAAAACGCCTCAGATTCCGACTCGACGAAGCACCCCCCCACTTCACGCGCACCGCAAACGACGAATCCGTCGCGTGGGGAGCCGCCTGGCTCGCCTCGGAACCCCTATGGACAACAGCCAGCCGGATGGGTCCAGACCCAGAATGGAAAGGCGTACAGATACTCGGCGAAGGCGGGAATGGCACAGCTGGGAAATGGGAATTGAGATATGGAAGGCCGGCTGCGGGGACAAAGGGACGGTTACCTTTTAAGAAGTGTATGGTGAAGCAGCAGGCGGGGAATTCGGGGGATATAGGGAATGAGTCGAAGATTTATGAGGTGCTGCGTCATGCGTCCACGCAGCATGTCGTTAGGATGTATAGACGGTTGTATGAGGATGTGGGGTTGGGGACTGTGAGGGCGGATGCGAAGGGCCCTGTGCAGAGGATCTATTTGGAGTTTTGTGAGAAGGGGAATTTGTATGATAGGATTGATAATAAGTTTAAGGAAAAGTAAGTTTGTTCATGCATGCTAGCGAGGGTCGTGTATTTATTAACTTGCTAGACGATATTTTGAGGAATATGAGATTTGGGATGTGTTTCATTGTTTAGCACGGGGATTGTATGCTATGCATTATGGGCATGAAAATCTTGATGAGGAGCGATGGGATCGAGATGAGATAGTTCATTTTGATTTTAAAGCTCCCAATGGTATGTTAAAAGTCCGAACTCATTTTTTTACTTCTACAGCTGCTCAATATTCCTAGTCTTCCTTGGCGATGGCGTAAGAGACGAAGAACACAAGGGAGCTCCTGTGATGAAGGTACTGTTGTCAAATAGTGGCTATAACGCCTCCCTAGCACTAATCAGCACCCTAACACTACGATAGATTGGCTATTTTGGGCATGCAAAAGAGGTGCCTATCGAGCAAGACCTTGCTTATAATTTCCATCTTAGATGGTGTGGCACAGAACCTTATAAACTACCTGTAAGTCAGTCATCCGATACTCGACAATATAGTCACTAACTCGTGTGCAAGGAGCAACTCAGAACTCGAAGGAATGAACTCGAACGACCTTGGATGGTTAAAGGCGTAGGTACAACATTAATTAAGCTTCTCCTCATCGGCTTCCCCTTTATTGAAAACACTGACACGCTAGTATAGCCTAAAAGCATGCGGGAGGCAGGCGACGGAAATATCCTCAACAATCTTCGCTATGGAACTCACTCCAACGTGTGGCAGCTTGGACTTATAATGTGGCAAATGATTCATTGTACGGAGTGGGAACACGAAGATTTCCCCGACGACGAATATGTTTGCAGGGGTCAAGTGGAATGGCCAGATAACAAATACTATCGACCTGGTCCTGAGGGAAGATTTGCGCTTAAAATTTACAAAGTAGCCAATACTTGGCTAGGCAAGAATGATCCAGTGGGTGGAGTCCATACTCTTGCTACGCAAGATGATATAGACTACTACGACGGAATGTACGATGAGCTACCAGCTGAGCCCATAGCTAACGCCGACAAGACGATTTCGGAAGCAGAACGCCACATGAATAGGAAAATGCGACGAATTGAAAATATTGCGAGGAAAAGCGTACGTAAGAAGCGAATATATAGCGATACATTGCACAAACTGGTGATGGATTGTTTGATTATACAAACAGAAGGACGAATTCATGTCAAAGACCTATATCGAAAGACGCAAAAGTTCAAGAATTTCTGGCGAGGAAAAGTAAAACCAGACCTACCACCGCCTTACGCACCCGAACCTGAACTCGGAGAGCTTCCGGCCCCATGGGACGATACCACGAAAGAAAGTGGCGGAGGCTTAGGCATACCCGTCAAAGAAGAACACGAATCTCATCCTCGCGGTCTTTTTGATCTGTTTGACAGGACCCAAAGGCATGAAAGGGCGGAGCAAATTATAAAATGGTCTCGGGACCACCCAATTCAGGATGTGCAGGATCATGAGGAGAACGAGGCACAGGGACTCATAGTACGCAATTTAAGACACACTGTCAGCTTCAGGAATAAAGTACGCATGTATGGGGGCCAGAGACAAAGGCCTAGGATGCCCGTACCCGAGCCGTTTCCAGATGGATTCAAATATGATCGTCCCGGGCAAAATAAGGGAGCCGCAGACCCTGGACAGGATGCTGTCCCTAATCCCGACCAACCTCCACTTTCGCCAATGCCCCAGGATGGAAAACGGCCGGGTCATGATAATGGAAACCCAGAAGGACCAAAGGATTTTTCTTTTGAAGCTACGCCTGTAGATATGAAAGGTAAACCACCGGTGCCTCTTCCAGGAGGTGAGGATTTCAAAGAAAAACCCAAAGATAAGAGCAAGGGCAAAAGCAAAAGCGGAAGCAAAAAAAGAAGCAAAAAAAGAAGCAAAAAAAGAAGCAAAAGCAGAAGTAAAAGCAAAAGCAAAAACAAAACACCCACCTGGCCCGTATTCCCCATCGGACTACAAACCAGCCTCGACAAAACCTTGCTTCAGCAGGCACTCCAGATCCCGGAACTCAAAAACACCATCTTATTCTGTGCCATAATTGACAAAAGTGGAGGCACAGTAACATTCAAAGGTATTATATATCTAACAGGATTACTACCCACGACGACGGTGTATCAGATGAAAGAAATGTTGAGCGAAAAGGAGACGGGGATACCGGTGAAAGATATGAAGTTGATGGGGAAGGATCGATTGACTGTATTTAGGGAGTTTGAGGATGAGGAAACGAGAGCGGCGATTTGTGAGATTGAGATTTGTGTTTATGATATTACGAAGGCGTGAGGTTGGGGTAGTGGAAATGTGGGTTTATTCTAGCTTGAATGAAATAGGATAAAAGATAAGATGAGATAAGATAGATTTATTTTGTTTTTGATTTCCTTTTTAATTTTGCGTGAAAAAATATGATTAATATCGAGGAAGTATTTATGTAATGTTTCTTGCGCCCACCTGAATGTCTCACCATGAACAAGAGGTAGTGAGATATTATGTAAGCAATTTTCCAATTTCAGGCCAGCATCTCAAAATTGTCATCAATAAGAAACAAACATTTATAATGTCCGAGCCCTGACTTATAAATACCTATAATCCTACAAACTGAGGAACTGTCACCCAGAGTTCAATGATGGTGCTCTTATGAACTACCTACCATTCTATGTGACTGGCACCTTCTAGAACTATAGTATCATTAAAACGACTAATTAATAGGCTATGGATACCCAAACACTTGTTTGCGGGCACTCTTTGCAATAAACTGACTGTGCGTATCACTTTACTTTCAGCGAGAGGGAGTAATATGTGGTATATTATCTAGAAGTCTCATTTATCCAGTATAATTACAGCCATGATAACGCCTTGGAATCTATCCGCCAATCTTCATGTCTTTCTCTAAGATATCATAATAACAGATATGAAAGTATACTATGTATGACATGAACATCCATCCAGCCAAACCCATGCAAAAGTCCCTGCCGTCCCATTTTCATTAGATAGTAACACCATTGACTCCATTCGTCAAACTCCCATTGACACTGTTGGCCAACTCAGCCTTCACACAATCCTCCGTGATCTTATCCAAGCATCCTGCTGCTGCTGCTACGAATCCCAAGTATGATTTGCTTGGGGCCAAAACTCGAGAGAGGTATTCCGGGTGGAATTGTACACCTACATACCAAGGATGATCTTTGATTTCAACAATCTCCATTCTCTCACCCTTGTCATCCTTTCCAACGAATTCAAGACCACCAGAGTGTAGTCGGTCGACATACTCGGGGTTGACTTCATAGCGATGACGATGACGTTCATGGACCTCTGTCTTCTCGCCATAGAGCCTACGGAGACGGGACCATTCAGAGCCTGGTTGGAATTCTGTTGGACGTAATCCGAGACGCATTGTTCCACCAAGGTTTACCTTGTCAATTTCCGGTATGTAGATAATTGACTTTATCGGATGCGTTGGCATTCAATTCCACTGAATGGGCAGAAGTGATGCCACAGACATTGCGAGCGAATTCAATGACGGCAATTTGCATACCCAGACAGATTCCAAGATAGGGTGTCTTGTTGGTACGCGCCCACTTAGCAGCTGCAATCATACCCTCTGTTCCTCGATCACCAAATCCTCCAGGGACAAGAATACCATCTGCAGTGCAGACCTCATGCCATGCCTTGTGGAATTCGGTTGGCTTAGCGTCGTCCTCGAGGTGTTCAGCTTCGACCCAGATCAAATTAAGCTTCTTCCCACATCGCATAGCCGAATGCTCGAGAGATTTGATGACGCTTAGATATGAGTCGTGAAGCTTGGTATATTTACCTACGAGAACAATGGAAACATCTTCAAATGAACGCTCTTGCTGAGTTGTAAGAAATTTCCATTCAGTCCATGTTCTCTGACCTTTTTCAACAAGGGCTTTCGCCATTGGAATTTCGTCGAGATTGAGGATTTTCTTCAAGGTCGAGATGAGACCTTGTTGTTCAAGGAGTAAAGGAACGTGGTAAGTGGATTTAACGTTGTGTACACCAATAACCTGTTCGCTTTCAACTTGGCAGAACATTGCGATCTTTTCGACGGTACTTTTTTCGAGTGGAACATCGCATCGACAAGCAATCTAAAATAATTAGCTTTTAAAACTCAAGACATATTTGAGTTTAGGAGTTTACCAAGTCCGGAACCAATCCAGCTCTACCAACATCTCTAATGGCTTGTTGGGTTGGCTTCGTCTTCTGCTCGCCCTGAATAACAGGTACCAATGAAACATGAATTTGCAAGAAGTTGCCTTTTCCAGCTCTTCTCTTCAACTGTCTCATGGCCTCAATAAATGGCGCACTCTCGATATCTCCAACAGTACCACCCAATTCAATAATACAAACATCCGGAGTCTCTTTTGTATCGTCAACTGGAATTCGCGCAACTCTCTCAATCCAATCTTGAATTGCATCGGTCAAATGTGGCACAACTTGTACAGTCTTTCCGAGATAGTCGCCTCTACGTTCACGTTCGATGACATGCTGATAGACCTTGCCCGTGGTAATGTTGTTTTCGCGAGTGAGTGTGATGTTGAGATAGCGCTCGTAGTTTCCAAGGTCGAGGTCGACTTCTCCTCCATCATCAAGAACAAAGACTTCTCCATGCCTATAATTAAGCATTAGCTCAATCCCGATGTTTTCGCAGATAGGTACAGTAGACGCACTCGAGGGGGTTCATGGTTCCGGCATCAACGTTCATGTAAGGATCGATTTTGATGGATGTGACGTTCTTTCGAAGTTAGCCTAGCGTCCTGCCTAATTTGTTATATCTTGGGAACATATCTTTAACCCAATTGTCTTGAGTAACAAGCCAGTGGAAGAGGCTGTTGCGCAACCACTTCATCAGTACAATTTTCATCTTCATTCGTATCCTCCATTTCTCGTTGTCGTCGTTCTTCATCATTCGTGTTGAAACATACCGATGACGCCCTTTCCAATGCCGGAAATCACACCTAAAAATCATGTTAAATCCAAATTCTCTTCCATTCGACAGCAAGATTAATAAGTTCATATACATACCTCCAGATACAAGAACGTACTTCATCTTGAAAAGCTTAATGAAATTTATGGTACCCTTCCTGGCTTATGCCAGAGGGAAGGAGGAAAGAAAAAAGGAAAATCTCAATTGAAAGTTTAAAGTTTTTGGTGGTGGGGGTTACCTTGAGCTAATCCTATCTTGGATTTGATTAGCGGGGTTGATGAATATTTGTGGATCTCAGTCTTTTTCCGCATTGCAGCCTTGGTATTGTATATGAATCATTTTATGATCAACCAAAAGATTCAAAATTGCCTGGATCTAGATATGATATATCTAAAGAGTCACAGGTACATATATAAATAGATCAATACAATGCTGTAACTCGCCTAGATAACTAGTTTCCCAAAAATATAGAATCTAGTATTGCTGTTAACATATAGATCATCTGTCTCAAATTGTTTATATCTTCATTCGGATATGATAATGATGTCGAAATAGTTTGCTAGACAAGCAGGTAGACAATTAGGAACACCTCAAGGGAAGCCAGACTTCCAATACTATGATTAGTAGGGAGAGTGGATTAAGAATTCAATGTTGCCTAGATCAACTCAGATACCTAATTAGCTACTAGATAGCTGGGTATTTAGGTAGCTAAATGCCCAGGTAGCTTTTCTAGGTAGCTTGGACTAACTCCCGAGAAGGAAAAAAAAGGCGGAAAAGAGAGAGAAAATAAACATATCATTTTTAATTGCTATTTGGTATATATCCATATTCACTCCTATATCATTCATCCTTTGCTATAATAACAATCTGTTAAAATGCAAAACCTGGGGTGAAGTTTGATCATGATACCAAAGATTCCCCCAAAAGCCAGTACAATTTATCAGTACAGCTCAATGCCCATGCCCATGCCAATGCCAATGCCCTTGCTTCTCATAATTTCATAAAGTCGTATCGTTGCCCAAATATCATCATCACAAAAGCAACCATTTTGAGACGCTAACGCCTTCTTTCAATGGACCAACAATCAATCCAGTGCAAAAATCAGAGTTCATAAGTCTTCATCCTCACAACCCGAGCCACCATTCACTCGACTTGGGGCCGGTTCTTCATCAATATTTCCAGCGAGAATTGGTTTACATACCTCCCATCTCATCATCGTCATCTTCCTCATCTTCCTGTCCCCCTTGGCCAACCATAGCGATCGTCTTCGCGTTTCCTTTCTTGATCTTGAGAATATTGGGATACCCTTGACTAACCAGAGATTTGGCCAAATCCGAACTAGGCCTCATACCCTCAAAATCTTTGGCATTGTGGACTTTAAAAATATTGCTCAAGAGCGGACTCATGATTCCGTTCTTTTGACCTTTTCCCATCCCAGCTGGATCTATCAATGTTAATCTGAATTTCAGTCGATAGTCTCCCGGGAATCGAACTGACAAGTCGGCAAAAGTGAAGAAGAATCGTTCATCCCCTTGAGGATCGAGTGCCTTGAAACCGTTACAGACCATAGTTCCTACCATTCTCCTTTGGTTCCGACGATCACTACTTCCCTCAATCTTGTCGTCCTCGCAATTCGTGTATGGATTCCATAATGTGCAATGCACTATCGGCATAAAATTCTTCAGAATCTTCTTTCTGTCTTTTGGATTCACAGGTTGGCCTGTGTCCTTATCAAATACTTCAAGCGTAAGGATTGGTGGCGGGTCTATCATTCGACGATCCTTGTCTCCGTATCCACAAGCTCTGGCGGATATTGGTTGTTGCATGACGACCAACCTACATTCCGGCTGTGGGAGCGGGGGTTGTGGGGCCCTTTGAGCATAATGAGCCTTCATCCATTGCGATGGATACCAAAAAAACATACCTGGGAGGAGCAAATGGACCATGGTGATGAGCTGTAACAGATCCTTGCCTGGTCGCGAACACATCTGACATTGGGGTGGGCGGACAAGTCGAGTATGGTGAGAGAGGGCTCTGCGAATGTTTGAAGGAACGTTCAAGTTCTCGAGGACTTCGTTCTTGTTGATGTAGGTACATGGGCCTATCCAGTGCCATTGGAGATCGTGGCCCTTGCGACGGCGGACGATATGAGTCCTCAAAAGCCTGACCCTCTTCAACTTGTCCCGGTGGTAAAGATGATAGCAATGAAGATATGGGTGGGAGTCGTGGTGGATTGAAATTGGGCTTCTGCGCCCTGTCATCGCCATTGTCGTGATACGGAAGAGGCTCACCCCCAAAGCTCATGGACCTGCCATCCGATGGCTGATAAATTGGCAGCGCGTCGCGATTCGAATGGTACATATTGTAGGAGAATGTCAAATATATCGTGATATTATAGACGGTCGACGGATTGGAGTCAGGTAGAGGTATCTGCATAGGCTACTAGTAAGTATCTAACATATTAGAGCTTAATAACTGAGGGTGGAGATGTTGAAGAGGTGCTACCTTCAGGTGTCATTAACGTTTCGAGATACGAAAGGAAATGACGACAGTAATTGCTGAAGCACAGATGAAGTGCTATATAGATGTGGCCGAGGAGGGCGAAGTACAAGGTATTTGTTTGATTGTTCGAAGTCCGATTGCGAGTGCATGAATGAGCGTTGGAACCAAGTTTAGTATATGTGTAACTTCAAAAGTACAAATGATGGAGAGGAAAGGAGAGCAACTCTTCATTGATGGTCGTGGGGAAAGCTGTGGGGAGATATAGGAAATCCCATGGAGGACGACACCGGAGTGACAGGAGGCATGGCAGTGGTTGGAGCCTTCTAACAAGCTGTGAAAAACCCAGGAACCGGGTGAGTGATATTGTGAGTGCTACCTCGTTCATGGAGAGATGTTTGGTTGGTTGAAATAACTACTCGTGCGGGAAGGTGTGGTGTGTTTGGTGGATTTGTCTTGAATTACGAAGAATGACTGGCGGACGAGTCTACTGCAGCCATAATTTCGACATGCCCGGCCTTCCGCGATATTGAACATGCGGATAAAGTGCCAGCTAAGGATCTGCTTCTCTTCTTTGGGTTAACACTTAACCAGATAGGAGATGGCTTTGACATTTTGCGGTCTTTTAATTTTTTTTAGTTTTTTCTTTTGACAAGGCTTGAGGGGTGCAGCTGCTGGTGAGCTGTGATGTTTTACGGTTTAAAAAGCATCTCCGGGATTGTAACATCTAACATTTACCTTGCATTTGTAGTGGATGTTGGAACTTTAGAGGTGCCACTAAAGTTCTAGTTCCCGCTCCTCCATCCGTGCACTATATGCACCCTATTAGCACTAGAATCATAAGACATAACCGCACATCCGCACTATTATTACTTTAAAATTCTTTTCGGAACGACATTACTCTGTATGGGATAGAAATGCTTGGAGAGGATCTTCAATGTCCATCTGTAATCATAGCCATCTTATATTACCCATATCCACTTTATCGTATTTATATTTATGGAACTTTTTAGACGAAATTTCATGAGTTTTTGCATTTTCCAAAATAGCAAAGGGTTGGGGGGCTTGGTTATTGCAGGGAAAAGTTGAAGGGTTGGTTGACCGACTAGCCTGATCAAATACTTCCGACATACAGCAAAGCTGCAAAGCTGCAAAGTATCGAGGTAGCAATGTAATGCTGGTGATGCGCTCAAAGATGATGATGGTGGTAGTCATGGGCGGTGGTGTTAGAAGGCTAGGAACTACGATTATAATCCATGGTTAAAACCCCCGAACTCTTCATCCATTGATGCATCTAATCATCACTCAATATCCGCTCATTCGCTACCATCCATTGTCACCAGTTTTTATGTTACTCTTTTCTCTCCTCCCCCTCTTCTCTCATCTCTTTTTACCACCACACCGCTAGCATATCACTCCATCTGTTGCGCAAGGTCGCGCAAGGAAGCATTCTATCCATGACGAACATTCTTCTGCTTGCCGGCTGCCTTGATTCGTCATGTCCATTGGAGGGAGGGCAAGCGCAGATGCTGGTGACCTCGCTCAAGGCTTGATGGAAATATAATTCTTTCCGTTACTGAGCTTGAGTGTATCACGTTTCACGGAAGATGGTGACAGACACAAATTACCTATCATTGGCCCACTAACAAACATGTCTCCGAAGGGCATGAGAGATCTTTCAGGGCATATCCTGTCATTGTTGCTTCTTTCACATCCCTTCTCTTCCTAGAGTTATCGTGGATTTCCATCATTCGTTACAGAAAACTTTTCAGCCAAGGCCATAAACCAGAATGATTCAATACGATGTCGATCTACTACATTCACAGACTCACTTATTGCGACGTCTGTCACCTCTTACCATAGACATGCATTTATGACGCTCTAATCTCTTCATTTCAATTATTAAATCGGCACAAGTTATACAGAATATGAAAAGTCTTGAAAGGTAACTTATGCCGAGGCAGCCTATCTATCAGAAACCGCAGCAGCGGATCTTTGATTAAAATCATCGAGATAATTTAGCGAATCATATGGCATCTGAAGATTTCGAAGCAGGGAATAATCAGATCATTATCAGTGTCATTAACTGTATTTTTCGAAAATGAAAAGGAGGTGCATAAAGAATACCTTACCTACCGACCTACCTATAATGCCAGCAACCAAGGTCTGCAGCATTCAGATATTAATCACAACATCTACCAAAAGAATCCTGTTTGGCCACTCATATGCAGTGCTCAGTATCTTTGAGGCCTAATTTATACAAGAAATTGAAGAAACAGAACCTTTTCGGAAGCAGAGCCTGGTCAATTTTGTACCACATATCGTACCTGCTCAACAAAATTCTTCCGACACCACCTTGATCGTAATCCCATTCATAAACTTCGTTCTTCGATGATTGCAGCTTCAGAATTTGTAATGTTTAATAGACTAAATAAAGAATTTGCAGCATACGGAGATTCGGAGGATTAGCTTTAGCATATGTTACCTTTCCCCACGACGAGCCGAGATAGGTTGACTTTCGGTAAGATAATCAAAGGTACTGCCACTACCAGGTCGAACAGAGCTCACAAAGCCAGTATCTCTCCAGGAACATGGTTATTGGCCAAATATCCGACATGAAGACCAATGTCTTTCCTCCGTTGCTGACCACCAAGATAGATATACTTTGTGGATGACACTCAACGGCACTTTCCGGTTTGCCCTATTACTTTGTCTTGGGGTTTGTAGCTAAAATAAACAGGGGCTTCTTTTATCGAGGGAGATACAGACATCTGTCAACGGATAAGGACGAAACGATGACAGCCGTTGAAAATACTCCCCGCTCCTTCAGAAAAATACCCCGGGCTCCTAGGATGAAAACTTGATTTCATTGCCACAGCACAGATCTCGGTAATACCAAAATACCGTAGCCCCGACGGCTCCAATGCGTTCGTGCGGTAAAGGAGTTGGTGTACAATTGTACCGTGGTTTGAGGAGCTCATTGGTCCCTCTCGCCGGGTTGGTGGATCTAGTGGCCTTCTATAGTAATTCCCAGAAAGCTTGGTCTGTACCCTACCGAAGATGGAAATGGATGGCTTTACTCGCGTGTAACATCGGGGCTACCCCGCTCCATTCAGGTTTTGATTTCTAGGACGATGGGAAATGCATTGAACTTTTCCAAACTGCTTGGAAATTAGCCTGGAATTTACCGGGAAGATGGCCGTTGTACGAATGTACAGAGCAAGTTCCTTGTGTCTTTTTAATTCTTGCACATGTTTTTTTAAAGATTTCAGGGGAACTTGCGGGTACTTCAGAAACATCAAACGTGCAACAACCCGAATGCAGGGCGAGCCTGTATATTTGTCACTTTTGAAAGCTTTCAAAGCCTAATGTATGGCGTATCCTATCAATTCTTGCTAGACTGTCATTCTCCTCCGAGCCTTTGTCGATTGGCCAAGATGGTTAATCATCCTACCCACACGGGCTCTAGGTCTAGATTCTCAATGCGACAAACAAGTGTGCCGTGACTTGCATACCTATCTTGAGTTACCTTGGTTCTCAGGGGCATATCATCTGATCATGATGTCTCTTGATCCCGGATATACTGGGAAATGGATCATTTTGGGGTTACCTCCTTTCAACATCAATGCCTCTATGCATCATGCCAACTGTTAGAACGAAGAATTTATGCTTCAATTATCAAGGGATACCTTGGCATTGAGATATTCATAGTCTTGATCTCCAGACACTACCTCAAGGATACCCACTTATTTCTTCACGGATGACCTAGTGGTCCATCTGATCTAGAGGCACAGCGTGGAATCAAAGATGGTAAATTTTGACAACGATGAGTTTTCATCACACAGCATAAGTATGGATCTCGTGTTACTCGTCATAAAAAAGAACTTTGGGAAATCTGCGACGAAGGCTCAATGCAGAATGCAGTGTACCTTCAACCCTCAGACGAAGGAATTCTGTGAAAACGGTAAACACGTTGACGGATGATACTTTGCATTTGACTCGGGGATTTTTCATTGAGCTTCCCGTCGCCAACAAAGCAGTTCTTTGGAACCTTGCACGATAGAAAATTTACTTCATTTTCGTGCATGATTATTCCTGAGCTTGATTCAATCTAATATCCTGTTCACTTTCATCACTCACCGAATACCAACCTCGTACAAAGCCCACCTTCCTGCACAAACACGAACACTAAAGACCTACCCTTTATCTCCAATTTCCACGAAATCAATCCCCTCACCACGCCATTCCCAATCCAATACACATACACCAGAGGATATTGTCACTCCTTCAAAACCCTTCGCCAAAGCCCCTAGGACGATAATCAGTACTTACACTAGAGAGAAGATACATTGCACATGTAAGTACTAAAAGCGCTATTTACATTGTAGCTGTGTACTGTACGCACGCGGGACAATATATCCTCCGAACGGAATCATGGAGTCATGGAGTCATGGAGTTACAGAGCAAGTCACAAAGCACAGCTAGGAGACTAATATCCGCGATTTATAAATGGACATGAATATGTGAATTTGGATGTAAATGGATATCACATCACATAAATCGGCATTTGTAAACCATAAAACTCTACAATGCAGAAGACGAGTCAAAAACAAAATCGATTTCAAAGGTTCCAACATTTATCTCCTATCTCCTAGCTACTTTCCTCGACGTGCAGTATACTTACCAGACTTCAGTCGCCCAAAAAATCCACATCTGGAACCCCGCATGTCATCCCGCGCCATGGCTAACTCCACCCCATGCAAATCAAGTTTCACACTAGAAAATCATGTACCTGTGTTCCCATACGTATTCCATGGTCCAGGGGCGTGGAATGGCCGAAGTCGGACGGGACGGCCGTTTCGGGCTGTCCTTGCATTCGTCTTATATAATTTGTAAGACTTACTCACCATAATTTCCCAAGTGAGGGGTTTCTGCTTTGGGCTTGACCGAATAAGTGTTTTGCGTCTTCTGATTTGACGTTTGCCGTGCATGATTGTTTATGGTCTGATTCCCACGTGTAGGAGGTCGAGGCTCTGGACAAACTGTGGACGGATGGAGTGGAGAATTTTACTTGATTGCTTTGATTGGAGAAAGTACAATTAATAGGTTGAGTACCGGTATTATTTCATACTCCTTTTCTCCATAACTTAACCGAAATGAAGATCCGAAATCGTTGCCTTGAAACTCAAAATCTTCATGTGTCGATATCTCATAGAGTGTACGTGCATCAGGCACATAAGTATTTGCCCCACCGTGAGGGATACCGAAGTCACCTGTCATCAGGAATCAGTGCATAATTTCACGACTTCCAAATAAAGGTTCCTCAGAGGAATTTGAGAAGGAAGAATATTCTTATCATTGCCACTTCTTAATTAAATGCTTTCATTCCGAATTAACTCTCAACTTTCAAAGTATCATATGCAGACTTTTCCTGCACCTGAATTGACGAGACATTGGACCTCTTGACGACACTTGCTTCATCAAAAAGAAAGCCGAAAGTGACATTTCAATAGCTATTATTCATCGGGATCATGGGAGAGAATAACCGTCCTCTTATCTACCTGAAGGTGCAATAGGGAATTCCATTTGTTGCTATTAACAAATTGAGGTTCAATGGTTAATATCAGATTGCACTGCCGTTTAACGGAGAATGATCTTTGATCCTTGAGTTCTTTCCATTTATCCAAGTTAGTTGGCGCTTGCAATTCACTAAAGGGGTGTAACTATGAATGTTGCATTTGTTCGAACATTTGAAACACTTGGTATCATCATGAAATTTTGAAGGTTTGCGATCTTTCGAACACAGACTGCGCTTGGCTAGTGAAAACATTCATATTCTTTATCATAAAAGGCATAACTCCTCGTCTCTCCTCCTTTCGTTTGTCACTTCAACCTTAGTTTCCCATTCATATACCAGCGGAGGTAACACTCTCCAATCACTTGACACCCTTTCGAAAATTTCCCACTTTCTCAAAAATAAAGGAATACTACATCCAAGCAAAATTCAAGCCTTATCACCTTCCCGCGTGCGGTATGGTACTATACCAATAAGTTTTTGATTCGCAGACATGAGTCTTCTCGTTATCTACTTGGTAGTGTCCCTAAAACGAGGAAGGAACACTTCCTCGTGAGTTGAGATATCCATGAATTCAACATTAGTAAAGGACTTAGACTCCGAAGACTGTGCCGCTTTATATGTCTGCTCAAGCGAGTGACAATTATTACACTCAAACCTATTGAGGGAAAGAGAGTGTACCTTAACTGGTGTTTCCATCGCCGCAAGAAAAAATGCTTGGAATTAATGATTTGAATGTTACGACGGCGTAACATAACCCGCATCAGGTAACCAATTAGTTAGCAGGATCATGTGACAAGTGTCACCTGATCCGAAAGCCGACCGACTTCGTGAGAATCGATCGGCCTTGAGAATCGATCGGCCCTTCAAGAGTCGATCGACTTTCAGAACACGAAGGTCTATATAATCAAGATGAATTTCCTTTGTATAGAGCTTCGTGCTCAAGATCAATCATTTAGTATACTCTACTATTAGTTACGAATAGCATATCATTATTGTCATTACTTTAAGTCCCTACTTGATGCCTAGTTATAAACCTACCTCGAGAGCCTAGAGCACTTCCACGTGATCTAGACGGCTACCCTCGTAACATTGAATGATTTGAATGATTTTAATTTTTCATAATATATTTTTTTTAAAAATTATTTAAAGTTTTTATTATTATTAAATATATTATATTAAAAAATCAAATTATAGATCATTATATTTTATAACTTTTTATAATATTAAATAATATCCCAATGTATTGTTACGCCGAGTAACAGGAAACCCTCACGTGCAATCAATATCACGTGACTGGCTCAGTAAGGATCAGTGAGCTCAGTACTGAGCCGCATTGATCCTACTGAGTAGCCATCGGTACGAAGGTTTATATATGTTACGAGGTTTGCCATCTAGGTCACGTGGAAGTGCTCTAGGCTCTCGAGGTGGTTTATAACTAGGCGTCAAGCAGGGACTTAAGTAATGACAAGGATGCAATTCGTAACTAATAGTAGAATATACTAAATGATTGATCTTGAGCACGAGGCTCTACAGGAAGGAATTCATACTGAATATATAGATCCTCGTAATTCTTGGATCACTCAGGATCACTGATGATCCAAGGTGATCCAAGGTGATCCAGCATACCTGTTCATATGCTCTGATGGTGCGTGTATATGAGTTTTTAGGGTGACCGAAATCTCATATTAAATTGAGCGAATCGTAACAGATTTACATATGGCTCAAGCTTACGAAAACAAGTCAGCTGTTACCATCGTAACATCAAAATCTTAATTTAATATATAATATGTTAAAGTGAATGGTTCCTGCGTAGCACGTGCACAGGGCACTAGTCCTATTAGGACTAGATTGAGAAGCTCTCTGTAAGAGAGCTTCGCACTTCCGTAGAACTTAGAAGAGAGATTAGCCTACTAGACCAATATTACCTCAGTTCTGCCCTATCAGCTTCCCACTATTCCCTGTGTAAGGTCATTCCTTTTAACAGTAATTTTAATTTAGTATTAATAATTTTAGTTCAAAATTAGTAATTTTAATTTAGAATTAAAAACTTGAATTCAATTGATCTTTAAGAAAGTACTTTAAATTTATAAAATTGAAGTACATTTTGAAGTACTTCCAGAAAGTACCATTCTGAATTTTTGATCGAATTTAGCCTCAATTTTCCTTCAGTGAAGATCAATATTCAAGAAAAATACTTCATGTACATACTTTTTGGTCTCTCAGGGATATATACAGTTTCACTTGTACAATAATGATAAAGAAACCCTCTTCATATCTATAACAACAACCCTTTATGGTGACCTACACAGGGATAGATCCTTGGGGGTGGTTCCTAGCTTCAAAATATTCGAATTTTATGTTACACTACTCGAGCTCATATTCGGCCTGCTAGTATCACAATTGAAGATATACTCGATCGATGATACACCTCAAGCATCATTTTAACCTTTAAATTCGATCCCCTTGTTATTTCTCAGGTTTGTTATCCCTACAAACGCTCAAGTACAAAGCTATAGCTAATGATTCGCTCCAATATGTTTTGTAGCTTTAAATCCTTGATTAAGGCACGGTCAAGTCTGGTGAGGGTTATATATTAATATATTAGTTCCCGGCCGCGGGTGTGGATATAATAAATACATTGAGGTTTTTGGTGACCGATGATTAGCTCTGGTATGTATAGCTTTTGAGGAGGTTGATAAGGTTAACGATAAATCGAAGGCTTGGTGAGGCTATAATACATTGGTTCTTGGGTGTGGATATAATACACTGATTTTTGTAACCAATAACTCGCTCTGGTATGACAAGTGCGATGATGAGTGGGTCTATATAGTCAGGAATTGTAGCTCTAATAATAAGATAACCCTCTTTACACCTACAAGAATAATATCTTCAGCGGACAAGAAGTCTACAACAAACCCCCACCCTAATTTAAATTTATCAAGGAGGCATCTCCTTAAAAAACCACCAAAATACTTCCTATACATACAAAAATTCTTTTGTATAAAATCCCCAAATTTATATAGGAAGAATACTATATATATATATATATAGATAGATTTACATACTAACTATTTATTCAAAAATCGAATCTGTGATATTAATAACCATAAACTGCTCGAAAACCAAAGTTCAATTATTCTTTAGAATCTATAATTAATGATTTAAAATCGATGATCTCGAAGGGCTTTTATATATATTAAGTACAGATGTATGAGTCGGCCTCGAGCGCTAGTCACTCGAGGGATGATCAAGGTAATAGACTTATGTAATCTTCTGAATTATAATAATCTTTTAAATCTTTTTATATTATCGAAAAATATCATCAATTCATTCATACAATTCACATTATCACACTTCGATATCAATCATTATAAATCAATATCAAAACATTTCAAGCTCATCTCAGCACAACTCATCTTTATTCTTCATCTAATTTCTCTCCCACTAACATCTCATCTTGGAGTCTCAACCACGTTCTATCACACCATCAATCTCTCACACACCATATACTCTTCATTGACCATCTCAAACCCCACCAAAGCCCCCTCTTTTTTTCTCGGTTAAAAAATAACCCTTTTTAATTTACCGAAAAAAGCCATCTAAACCCATTCTTCCATCCTTCCATTAATTCCTCCTCTACCTCCCTCTCACAATAATCATTCCATATTCCCACAGGGTATAATATCCCCATCCGTCCATGCAGCCTTCACCCACTTCAAACAACATCCACGTCCATCCAATCGATCTACCCCAAATACCTATTTCATCATATTATACACAAGTCCATCCACCCCTTCCCATCCCATTCCATCTCCGCCCAAATCCCTATTTATATAGACAAAACAAAGTGTCGAATTGAAGAATGGTAACATATACATTCGTACCCTCATCCCCACGTCCATCCAGCCCTATACCCCGCAAACAAAATCCTTAAACACCATGCTATAACCATGCATGCAAGCACCCCTTAAAACGTCGCAGTAAAAAGAGTAAGCAAAGCTCACGCGAAGAGAAAAAAAAAAAATCATCGTATCTTTCTATACTGTTCGGATAATCGAACATGAATAGAGATTATTATGTAATGAACGAATGAATCAATCGGTAGAACTGGGGAGGAAGTCGAAGTCGGTATCGAGAGACTGCAGGAAGAAAACCGACGCATGCTGACGTTTTACCCAATTCAATCCTAATAATCCCCTCCACTTCTAACTTCTTCAGGAATCACCTCTTCTCTCCATCTAACACCACCCTCCACATCCACACCTCCTTTCACCCATTCATTAGCCTGAACCTTTTCCAACGGCCATCTACTCCTAGCTCTTTTCAATAAACCTTCGGTAGCTTCCATTGCTCCCTCTAATCCCTTTGCCTTGAATTTCTCCGGATCACCTTCATGATCCCCCTCCTCACCGAAATATTCAATCCATCTCCATTCTACTCGTGCAATTCTATGACTCGTTCGGCTTCGTTGTTTGTGTCCCTCTGGCATTCCAGGGTTAGGATCAAATGGTAATCTACTTTCCAATAATGCATAAAGTAAGACACCAAGAGACCAAGCATCGGTAGCACGTCCATCGTACGGTTGACCCATGATAACTTCCGGGGCAGCATAATCATCGGATCCGCAACGGGTAGTAAGTTTTTCGTCATCAGCTACTCGGCGAGACAGACCAAGGTCTGTGAGGGTAATGATAGAGTAAGGATATTTGGTCCAGTCTTGAGGTTTTGCCAGCTCGTGTTGCGGAAGATTAACCAAGACATCTGAATAGAAAGAGACGCTCGGTTAGTTTGCGTTATTTGCGATTTTTGAATATCATGTAAAGATGAAGGCCGTAGGAAAGGAAAATTGAAACACTTACTTTCTAATTTGATATCCCGATGAACAATATGTCTATCGTGTAAATATTGGACAGCACCAACAAGTTCCGCAAACATACGTCTGAGTAACGATGGGACGAGAATATCTCGATGTTGACTGGCCACCTCGAATAGATCTCCACCGGGACAATAACTCAAAACTAAAATAGCTCTTGTCTCTTCTATGCTCCAAGCTTTAAGGTGAACCAATGAAGGATGATGTATCGATTTCATGATTTCCAATTCACGTTTTAATGACATCTCTACTCTTTCTTCCGATGCCCCTCCTTTTGGACCATGTTCACAAATCTTGATTGCTACCAGTTTTTTTCGATCAATTTTTGTCTCACTGGGTGTAACCAGTCCCTCAATAGCGAACACATTATCTTCATCTATGCGACCCTCATCATCTTGGACTTGACTGGTTGCTAGAATCACTTTGCTGAAAGTGCCTTGACCTAAAACTTTTATACCTCTCCATCTTCGTCGTTTAGAATCATTTCTGGTGTATGCATCAAAGTATTCACCTCTTGATTTCCGGAGAGCTCTAGGGATATTATTGGTGGTCAATGAAGAATCACTATCACTACTTTCCCCTCCTGTTCGACTGGATGGTGGGGTTGGTGGTCTTGGAATAGGAGCCAATCCTCGTTGGACCGCTAAATGTGGTTCCCTTCGCATATGTATATCTGACGGTGGAACCATTTCGGCCACTCCATCTATTATCGGAGCATGCGAACTCGAGACGGTAATGTTTCGAGGTTTTGGTACCTGTATTGCTTCTGGTACATATTCGCTCATACTTCTATTTCTGGTATGTCCTTCCGCGTTCTTTTTTCGGTTTATTTGCGCATCCATCAAGGCAGATTCACCTGCATTACTTATTAACCCATGATATGCCCTTCTCTTTTGTTGATTTGCCATGGCGGAGGAAACTGATTCGCCATTCGATGTGATAAGCGCAGCGTCAGAGTGCAATGGTAGCATATGTTCGCGCGAAGTTCGTCTCGAGTTTAATCGTTTCCATGGTCCAGGTGAGTCCCCCGACATGAGTGGTGAAGGAAGAGGAGTAACATCTGCCATTGCGTTCAACATTGGCGACGATAATGCAGAGTTTGGTGCCGAATTGTTGCTACCTATACTGCTTGCAAGAACATTCTTAACACTGGGGGTTCGTGCGAGAGACATGCCCATCTGCCCGCTTGATCTTGAGTGTATTCTTGTGGTATCGGGAGATTCGCGTTCAGAAATTCCGGTCTCTGTGTTGGTAGATGCTACTGTACAACCTGGAACGATATCGGTTTGTATTCGCAGACCCGCGCTTAGAGGACTCGGGGTCCGATTACTAGAAGGATCTATATTTGGGTGAAGACGAGAAGTGGTGTCAAGCGCTAGTGGGGTGTATGCCTCGTTTGTCGAAGTGGATCTGCTATGAGGAGGCGAAGGTGCTATGGTATTGGACTTGAATATGGCAGTGAATGCTGGTGTTTGACTGGATTGAAGTGGTAACGAAATGTTTGGGTCTTGCATCGCGTTCGCATCGTCCATAGAAGTGGGTGAATCATACCCGCCTAGGGTCGATGTAAAAGCTGACACAGCTTCGAGACTTCCATTTTGCAGTTGACCCTCGACCATCCTTTGTTCCGAATTAGACATGTTGGGGAGGAAAGAGGGTTATCCACTGGAGGGAGAGGGAATAAAAGGTTGAGGTATTTTTTTGTATTTAAAGTAAAAGGACGAGTAACGTTGTGATGATTGATTTCAGGGATTATTTTGATGAGCCGTCATTCGATGCACTGTGTACTCCGTAGTGCAACCCAATCTTAATGGACAGTCAATCAAAAGGCACTTTAGATAAAAGAGGACAAGGCGTATGGATGGGATGAATTAATTGACTGCATGTGGGTTGTATTGAGGAATATGAAGTGGGGGTTTGGGTATCGGTAATTGTCAGGAATAATTTGGATAAGATTGGGATAGGATGAATGAATGAATGAAAGGATGGATGAATGAATGAATGGATGGATGAAAACTACCTAGGAAGAGTAAGCTTGTGATATCAAGCAAGCTGATCCGGAAGGAGAATATATAATAAATATATTGATTGGATGGGTTTATTTTTTGGATATTTATTTGATTGTTTGATGTTTATATCGAGAGTGTATACAAAAGAAAAGAGTATTTATTATAAATAGGATGTATTAGAGTAGAGGGAGTAGAGGGAGTAGAGGGAGTAGAGGGAATAGAGGAAACGGATGAATGAAAATAAAAATAAAAATAAAAATGAAAATGAAAATGAAAATGAAATTGCTTGCGGATATTGACATGTTCTGCTTTTGATCTGGAATTGGCCTTTTGGCTCATTTCACTCACTAATTTCAACGAGTGACCTACTGACCACTTCCCTCTCCTCGTGTTATTACTCCGTACCGTTCAAATGACTACTAGGCAATAGGTCAGTATAAGTACCTATGGATCATGATTTCTATGAGGAGCTGAAGGCACTGAGCGCTGGGTAGTCATTTTACGCTTTGGTCGATCAATAATTACCAAATATGTATGTAGCATTGGTGTGTGTACCAGGTATAATAAAAGATAAACCTTTTCTCCATAAACCGAATGCGGGTTTAGCTAACCTTACCACCAAGATTAATAATAATTCTGGGTAATTTGAAGATTACTCTTGTACCTCTTGTACTCGAACAAAGAAGAATGCGACGAGATGATTGGTTCAATTGAATTTAATTTTCTTCAATACATCTTTTCCAGCTTCAAAGCTTCGAGCTTACCAGTAATCCTAAAAACCCAAAATTCAATAGGCCAATTTTAGATGAACGTGATCGGAACAACAGGCAAATATAACCACCTACCCCATAATAACCTTATGATATCAAGCGACATTTCATATACCTTTGTTGATAAGAGACCACTAGCTAATTTCATCTAATTTCAAAGTTTTCCTTTTTAAGAAATCTTCATCAAACTCCTTGATGACAACTACTAAACCTTTTTCCATTTACCTTGGCCCGGAGAAACACTAACAATTATTCCTTGATTAACTCCTTCTTCCTCTTTCTTCTATCGATGAATGCATTGTTCTGAGGGTCTCGGATGTGCCGATATTGTAATGGATTACCTTCTCTTGGTCTAGAGAGGTCTACACACCTACTTTGGTAATCAGTTCGTCCTTCGCTCTTTCATCCCAAAATGTGTCTATAAGTTTCAGGTTGGAAGAGTGGAAATTGATGTACTTCCCATAGGGCAATTCAAAAGTTCTAATCAACAAAGGAAAGACTAAATTCTTACCATTCTCCTGGTATCAAATGACTATCTTTTGAGCTACTAGAGTGATAATTCAAGCTCAATGCAGAATAATTTCTAATCAGTTCGCGTTTGTGATCGCAAAGAATTTGACTTCTTGCATTGTTTGCTGTAAGTTTATGGAGTCAAAAAGCGGATTTTGGCGTCACTATACATAACCCCTCACTATCTAGGCCCCTTCATCAAATCCGGTAGCGATGCTGTTTGCAGAAAGTGCTTGATGACTTTTTTGCAAAGATTACTCTCGTCACTAGCGTCATCAATAGCAAAACTTATTACTCTGAATTCAGAGCAGGTCCTTAAGCATCGGATGCAACCCAGTATCGCATCTTTCACAGATTGTACTCGGGTTCAACTCTACTTACTAACCTTATAGTCCATCACAAATTTATGACAAAACGATGCTTCGGATAACCCCTCTTCTTTATTCTGTACCTGGATATAATCTCCCGCCTACCCAGCCGAACCGACCTGCCCCACTCTATAAAAATCATTATATGAGCTCCATGAGCTCCACTCCTCGAACATTTATTTTATTCCGTTGGTTCAAGCCATCCATCCACCCACGCGGCGCCAAGGAAAAGGGAACGCCCAATTGAGTGACTAATCTTCTTTGAAGGAATAAGGTTATTGAAGAGGTCGAACTGTTTTTAGATATCCAAGTCTGCGTTTACCGACGGCTTATCACCACCAGCTTGAAAAGGTATGGGCGAGAGATACTCGAGTACAACCACGATAGAATATCCCACGTTTGAAAACCATATCTCCAATTGGTTGTCCGGCTTCGATGAATCAGCATGGATACCTGCATATCAGCGGCCTTACCCGCCTTAACCAACAAAAAGCCACTTCATGCTTATTTTCACGATTCACGGTTCACGATTCACGATATAATCCATACTCCGTAAAGTTTTACTCCTGCAGTTGTGTTTCAAATACCCCCTCGGAGTTTGTATCATGTGAGATGGCCCGTGGATAATGCTTTGACCTTGATGCTTCCTCGACTTTCCGTGTGGAGAGCTAGAAGCTTGAGGCTCAAATGCATTCGAAATACTCCGTACAGTGGCGCGCAAACAATCTAAGCTGGGCAAACAATTTGACTAATAGTAACATGGCGGAGGTCCGACATTTCGAACGGAACATTTGAAAGACAACTCACTGGGCTTGTCACAGCTTAAGTTTTGATAAATGCTTTGAGACATTTTGATTGCGATGAACACCCACCGGTCAGATGATCTAATCGCATCTTTAGGTTCAGGGTGGTTAGCTGCTCTTCAATCTTCCGCAGCTGACAACTTGTTATCGAAATGTGAGGGTGGCATACCGTATAATGTCACTGGTAAGCATTTACCCTCAACCCCGTCTCCAGAAAAATCGACATTGAGGTAGAATTCGGAATTTCCAAAATCCCGATGGGTTTTCAACTTTGCTGTCGGGATATGCAAAATTCCGATATTAATTGATTCATGAAAGCTCATGAATCCGAAATTTCTAGGTATCATTTCAGTATGTGATTGGAAATTTGAGTCTCTGATATTGAACTATTCCATAATAGTTCTGGTTTTATAATTGTTCTATTTTAAAAGGAGCTTAGTGTAAGTTCTTACCAGTCGGTTTACACAGTATGCAGTACCCGATTTGAACAATTAATCCGAGATATCTTATCTTTGTCCCAGTCAGCCTTCAATATCCTCGTCAACTAATCACACACCTCGGGCACTATGCAGTAAGGGAGTCATGGGAAAAGTTGCTGGGAAAGGTACTAATACCACACCTGCGAAACCATAACCTCGCCCACATAATTACAAACTCCGACCTCGGTCAAAAAAAATGTTCGCGCATCAGGGAAATGAGATTTAACATCAACTTCCTTATCATCAAAACTCCATGAATCATCGAAAATGACCCACAATGTTAGTATCACTCTGCCCCGATTTTTCACAAGACAATCGCGCGGTAAAGGGAATAGGTATTGCCGCGAGCCTCGGTATGGCGTCTCTTTTGTGTCATCTCCATTCCCTCACTTTTCCCCGTGATTCCCCTTAGTTTTTTGCTTCATTTCATTATAAGTGGCGATTGTCTCTAGATTCCTATTTGGTCACATAGATTTCTCTTTAATATATATTTCTTCTGGACTTGTTCAATAATACAAGAGACAAGATGAGTAAGAAAGGGGATTTTGCTGCCGTCAGTAAGGACATTGTCGGTCTTTTACACCAACCGGAATACGATGATGGCAGTGCTGGACCTGTTCTTGTGCGCTTAGCATGGTATGTGAACTTCCAATCCACGTCTCTTCCAGGCTGTGCGCAGCTGCTGCAATCCACTTGGGCGCATCTACTCCCTTCAATTCACAAATTAACATCTTCTAGGCACTCTGCTGGAACATACGATGCTGAGACAGATACCGGTGGATCCAATGGAGCTGGTATGCGATATGAAAGTGAAGGAGGTGATCCAGCAAATGCTGGTCTACAACATGCAAGAGTATTTCTCGAACCAGTCAAAGCCAAGCACCCCTGGATAACATATGCGGATCTTTGGACACTGGCCGGAGTTGTGGCAATTAAAGAAATGGGTGGTCCAGAAATTCCATGGAAAGGGGGACGAACGGATTATGTTGATGATTCGAAATTGCCTCCACGAGGACGTCTACCAGACGCGGCACAAGGCTCTGATCATCTGCGATGGATCTTCTACCGCATGGGCTTTAATGATCAAGAAATAGTTGCCTTGAGTGGAGCACATAATCTTGGACGATGTCATAGCGATCGATCCGGATTTGAGGGAGCTTGGGTTAACAATCCTACGAGATTTTCGAATCAATATTACAGACTCTTGCTTTCACTACAATGGCGCAAGAAGAAGTTGCCTAATGGAATTGAACAATTCGTCAACTATGACGAGGATACCGAGACGGAATTGATGATGCTACCAACCGATTTGGCCCTCACACAAGATAAGGAGTTCAAGAAATGGGTAGGGAAATATGCAGATGACAAGGAGAAGTTCTTTGAGGATTTCAGTAAAGTCTTTGCAAAGTTAATTGAACTGGGCATTCAAAGAGACGGAGAAGGCAATATCACGAACCTAGACAATGAAAAGGGTGGATATCATTCGGCACCAAAGAAGAAGGATACTCCTGGTAGTCCAGCGAAGAGTTCAGATGACAAGGTGGACGTGAGTGAAGCAGAGCCATTGAAGGAGGGGAATAAGAAGTTCAACTCGAAGCTATAAACGTATGTTTATGGGTCTACAGCATCAGATGTATAGTCGTCTGATGCGGTTGTACAATAAAAACTTGTAAATGGTTTCTGGTCATGTAATGATAGACATCGGTGGGCGGTTAGACGGATGAAGATTTTAGACTTTAGACAAGATGGATTAGATATAGATATAGAAATAGAAAGAACTAATAGATGTTTTATAATCAGTCGCGTTCATCAATTTGAGAAAGTGCGACCATCTTATCCCTACAGACCTAGTCGAAATCCATGCATACTTTCTTCACCCTATCTCACATTCTCCAATTCAACCTCCCTAGATCGAAATTCAACACTTATCAAATATCATTACTCTCTACCACAGCAGTAACAGCACCCCTCACAACCATGCGGTCCTTCTTCTCCCGCTCCCCCGATCTTGAAGGAGGCCAAAACCGCACCTACAAAAAAGGTTTCACAGGCGATCACCGTGGCCGCACACACATTCCTCCACACCCTTCTCCTATCTTTTCTACTCAATCCCAACAAGATCCCTTCAACTCTCCCCCCGCCGCATACAGACACGACACCATCTTCAAACCACCACCAAGCCCCAGTCCAAAGAGCGTCACATTCAGCGACCGATCATGGAGTGCACTTTCCGGCGCCGGAACCGCAGTAAATCCTGCTGGAAGTGGAAGATTGCGCAATGTACCTGCGACGGATAGGACACAGTTGGATAAAGAACAATTAGACAGATTACACGAATATCTTGGAGTTCTCCCCGGGAGTGGTACTCCGCAAACCCAGAGAGAAAAAAGACGTTTTAGTATTAGTGATCCTAATGATCGACCAATTCCCATTCCCATACTTAATTCCTCAACTCCTACGCCTCTCTCCCCGCATTCGCGTGTTAAGAAAAATTTAAAGCAGAAGGCGGCTGAACAGCATTTTAGGAGGAATAATCAGAGTAGTGCGTATTCGCAGGATAGGTTGTTGGGGGAGGAGGATCAGGTGGTTTATCAGACGCATGTTTTTAGGGAGGCATTGAGGACGGCGCTTAGTATGCGGAAGGGAGAGGAGGAGAGGGAGTTTGCTGGAGAGGTGAAGAGACCGGTTATGCAGAGGAGAGGGGCGAGTGAGGGGGTTAGGGAGGGGGGTTTTGTGGGACCGCTTGAGGAGAGGAAGCTGGAGGAGGTTTTACCGAGAGATTTGGAGGAGTTTTTGGAGAAATATGATCCGAGGACGGGAGGAGATGCCGGGATGTGTTAGTTCTTCTGCTTTGAGTTTATGGGGGGGGGGGGGATTTAGGTGTGAGGTTTTGATGTGCTGATTTGGTTGCAAAATAGTTTTCCGATGGGTGAACATCCCCAGCAGGCTTCGAACAATGTATTTGGAAGATATATTACCCACATTCAAGAAAATTGCATAAGCATAATTGGAT